TATATTAGTGCTGGGCAACGATTAAATTTATTTTTTTTTTAATTGCGATTAATTGCATGATTGTCTGCGATTTAATCACATTGTTATGCACAAAATTCAATAATGTATTCAAAAGTAGTCTATTGTGCACTTTTTCATTTAAACGTACTGCTATATGAACAAAAGTGCAATAACATTGGGTTTGCAAACACTTTAAACAAATAAGGTGCTTTTTTTACAGCAGTATTCCTTTTACATAGTAGCAGTTAAAATATTTATTGTAAATCTCAACTTATAACATTAATATAATCAAATTAAATATAAAACAAGCTATTTGCCACTTCCAGGGCATTAACGTTTTTATAGAAAATATTTTATAGAAAAACAAGTTATGCTCAGAGTCCAGAGCCTCAATCATAACATTATCATAGGCACCTTCCGAGTAGAGACCTGCACGATCGTGGGACCCAACGCAACAGAGTGCGTGGGCGAGTGCGGGTGCGGGCGGGTAGAGACTCGTGTGTGCGGGATGAGGGAGAATAAGGGTGTACTCACACTAGGCAGTCTAAACCGTGCCCGAGCGCGTTTGACCCCCAAAGCCCGGTTCGTTTGACTAGTGTGATCGCTCCGTGCCACGCTCGGGCGCGGTTCGTTTATCTGGCCCTGGCTCGGTTGGAAGAGGTAGGCCAGAACGCGGTTCAGTTATATATAGATCAGTGAGTATGAGCGCTAACCGCGCCGGAGCATGGAACTTATGATGCATGCAGCATGATTGCGTGAACATTTCTGAGCGGCAAGAGTGATAGATCTGTAAAGCAATATATTGTGAAGAGGGCCGTGTGTTACCAAACGACTTAAAATAATAAACCACAAAGTTAACAAAAGGGCACTCCACTGTGCTTAGCGAGAGCGCTTCTCTGCTGTCTTCACGTGCTATCGGAAACTTCCTATTTCCCCACTTATGAAGTCGTGATTACGAGCTCGTTGCATTATTTTCTGTTAAAAATAACAGTGAACAGTGGTTTGTGAATGTTGATGCTTAGCCTAAATAATTTTAGCGGGAACGTTAATGTGAGTGCTCCTGCAGTCTTAGGCCCACCCCAAATGCTCTCATTGGTTGAGACACGTGATGACACTCATCCCAAGCCAGTACTGATCAACATCCCACCCCTCCTGTGACCCATGGTTTGTCTGTATATGCATTCAGAGTCAGTGAGCAGCGGACTTTCATAATAATAAAAAAACTCTGTTAATGCGTGTAACAAAGTTCGTAGTCACGGGAACCGGCGAACATTTAAACAAAACTTTAATAAAATAAACAAACACAAAATTAAAGTAAAGCGGCAGCCCCTCGCAGACGACTGCCACACACAAAACAAAAAAATAAAGTCCAGACCTGGTCCTCTCTCGTCTTTCACTATCATAGCTCCTCCTTTTATCCTTCCGGAGCTCCTCCGTGGGACTCGAGACCGGTGAGTGGTGCAGGTGTCGCTCATTATCAATTACGATCGGTCCGGTTCCCGGATACACTGCCGCTTGGTCCTCAACCAGCTGAGAGGCTCTCACTTGCGGTGCCATGCGATGGTACTGGACATCGTTGGTGGACGGCCCACCACTCCTCCGCCTTCTGGCGGATGGCAATAGTTCTTCCTATTGAGGGCAGCCGGCAGCGAGTCCCCCGTTCCCTGCTCCTCCCCAATCATGGCGGATGGCAGCACGC